CCAGGAATAAGTGTTTGAAAGGCGGGGAAAAGTTGTTTGAAATAGTATAATACCTCCAGGGCACATAACTGCACTTTACAAGCCAGAAATAATGTTTAAATGGTTGGGGAAAGTATTTTTAATTGTCTGGAAGAGAGTTTTAGCCTGTCATTTTGCACGATATCATTTAACATTGACGCTCTCCTGAAAATGCACAGAATATGTGCATTTTCAGGAGAGCGTCTCCTGTCTGATATCGTGTTTCCCAGCATGCCCTGTCGGGGGCGGCCTGTGTGAGGATGTTCGACCCGAAGACGACCTGCAGACAGGAGTGTCTCATCACCACCTTCCAAGACGTCTACTTCGTGTCCGAGAGCTTCGAGGAGGCCAAGGAGAAGATGAGGTGAAACACACACACACACACACACAGCGTTACTACACTGCCTTTACACTGCGACGTGAAGTGAAGTTCTTCTTATGCCAGATAATGCTGTAGCTGGTCCTCTGAAGTCTTCAAAGTCCTGGAGCAGGCGATCTCCTTACTCGTCAAATTATGGGACTTTGACGCTCCACTCGAGGTCAGTCTTGGACGTGCAGTAACCTCTAGAGGCTCAAATGATAATGAGGGGAGTGAAGGAGGACGTCCAGAGACACAGAGCGAGAAAACCGAGGTTTGGAGGAAGTCACCAGACACTAACCAGGAGACTGTTCTTTGTCCCGTGTGAAACAAGATTATATTTGTCCTGTTTATTGGTCATCGTTATTTTAGCCCAAAAATAAGTTGACGAACACTGGAGGAGTAACTTTGACAGATATCATACAGAGTGTTAAAATGAAGATACGTTGCCCGTGTGACACCAAAAGTCAACGCTGAGTGATTTTAACGCACACTGTAAATAACAACCGTTCTTATCTCCACCCAAACGGTCTGTTTTTATTTGACTTAAAGTGTATTTGACTTAAAGTTTATTTGACTTATATTTTATTATACTTCAAGTTTAATTGACTTAAAGTTAATTTGACTTAAAGGTGGGGTAGGTAAGTTTGGAGAAACCGGCTCGAGATCGCTAGAATTTGAAAATACACAACCGGAGAAAATCTGCCACTTCCTTACAGAGCCCCTCCTCCAACACACACGAACGCGCACATGACCAATGAGGGCACGAGATAAGTGTGTGCACAGATGGAAGGCTGACAGGCAGGTAGGTCATCCAGTTATTTTAGCGGGGCCGGCTCAGATGATTGGTTGTGCTTTTTACAGTACTACAGCTTCCACAGATGATATTTTTTTATGGATTTTTTGTCAAAGCACTTCAGATATTCATTGCTATCGGGATGTTAAGAGCATTCCATGGAATATAACAACAAGTGTATCTCGAGCCGGTTTCTCAAACTTACCTACCCCACCTTTAAGGTTTATTATACTTAAAGTTTATTATACTTAAAATGTATTATACTTAAAGTTTATTTGACTTAAAGTTTATTTGACTTAAAGTTTATTCAACTTAAAGTTTATTATGCTTAAAGTTTATTATACTTAAAGTTTATGTTGATGGTCACACCTTGTCTCCTCTCTCTCAGGGAGTTTGCGAAGTCGATAAAGCGTCCGTTCTCCGTGTACTACAACCCGTACACGCAGAGCGTCGACCTGCTGAAAGACACGCGCGGCATCGAGGACGTGGTGCAGGACCTGCGCAGCGACCTGAACACCGTCTGCGACGCGCTGGGCAAGATGAACACCTACATGGGCATCTGATTGGTTCAAATCATCACCTGTGTTCATGTGAGGGCTCTGATTGGTTCAAATCATCACCTGGGTTTATGTCTGGGCTCTGATTGGTTCAAATCATCACCTGTGTTCATGTGTGGGCTCTGATTGGTTCAAATCATCACCTGTGTTCATGTGAGGGCTCTGATTGGTTCAAATCATCACCTGTGTTTATGTGAGGGCTCTGATTGGTTCAAATCATCACCTGGGTTTATGTCTGGGCTCTGATTGGTTTTAAAACCTCCCTTCCTGTTTCATAAATGTAAGATTTGCTGTCTAATGGGTCCGATGCTGTAAAGAGTAATACACTTTATCGATGCGTAACCACATCATCTCAAGCTTTATACGTCAGGTGAAGCAGAGTCTGGGCTGCCAGGTTGTGAAGCGCTGGTTAAAAAATAAAAAGCTGTTTCTGATCCATGATAAATGTTTACCGTGTTAAAGTCAGCAGATGTTCCTCATTTGTTTCTGTCTCTCTTTTGACAGATGCTTTAAGAAGTCAGATTCTCTGTAACTATAATAAATACATGTGGATTTAACCCTGAAACTGTGGGATTGATGATTTATAGTTCCCGTTGTTTCGGCAACACGCCGACCAACCAGAGCCCCAGATCACCTCAGTGTGTTTCCTGGTTTTTATTATCATTATATGTTCATGTCTCTAACGTAATTATCCCCATGGGAGGTTCAAATAGATAGATGACTACTTTATTGATCCCAAATTGGGAAGTTATTTTGTTGCAGCAGCAAAGTGTACAAGCATTAAAATCCTAAAGATGAGTTTCCTCCACAAAGCCACAGGCCAATAACAACGCTGAAGCTGAGCGTCAGGTATTCCATTATTTTATTAGAACACAAAGAAGAACGGCTCAACACGTTTATCTGTACGTTCAAACATCAACACACTGCGGCAGGGAATAAACAGAATATCGCTCATCACACACATCTCATTGTTGTTAAAGGGCAACAGGAGAGACTGATGGAGCAGCTTCAGGTGGGAGGAGGTGTACATTGTTGGAATGATGTTAAAACTGAATCAAATGAAAGAAAAACGTATACAAATAAGAATAACATCACGACTAACATCAAAGTAATAACTCGACTCCAAAGTCCAGCAGTCCTGAGTCCTGGTGCCTCAGCAGGTCCGAGGTCCACATATTGTTGGCCAAAGGAAATCAAAAGTTCACTTTCCCCTGTGGAGGCCTTTGTCTGGTAGTTTGAGCTTCTTTCTACAGCTCATCCTGTTCCACCTTTAGTTTCCTGGTAAGCAATTTACAAAGTAGTTCTTTCTGTTCAATCAAATTAAAGCCCATTTCATATATTTCAGTATAACTCAAAGAGGCAGGATTTAAAGGTCTCTAATGGCTATTCAAACAGAAATCCAAGGAGAAGCCTCCATTTTTAACACCAACATTTAAAGGGCCCATGTCATGGCCATTTCCACTGATCATAATTCCATTGTTGAGGTCTACTAGAATAGATTTATATTGTGCATTGTTCCAAACTCACATTGGTTTCTCAAACAGCATCTCTCCAAACTCACATTGGTTTCTCATACAGCATCTCTCCAAACTCACATTGGTTTCTCATACAGCATCTCTGTAAACTCACATTGGTTTCTCATACAGCATCTCTCCAAACTCACATTGGTTTCTCATACAGCATCTCTGTAAACTCACATTGGTTTCTCATACAGCATCTCTCCAAACTCACATTGGTTTCTCAAACAGCATCTCTCCAAACTCACATTGGTTTCTCATACAGCATCTCTGTAAACTCACATTGGTTTCTCATACAGCATCTCTCCAAACTCACATTGGTTTCTCAAACAGCATCTCTGTAAACTACGTGTATTCACTGAATTTCACTCTCTGCCTTTAACGGCTCGTTGTAGCTCCAATAGCTCCAGCCCCCACCCTCCCTGTGAGCACAGTGTGCTCTGATTGGTCGGGACATGGGGAATCGCGCTGAGCTCCGTGGAGGTGTTGTTTCCTTGTTTAGGATACATAATGAAACACAGCCAAACTCATCCTGAGCACACACAAAGTCACAGCCGAAGTAAAAACAATAAGTGTGGCTTGATATTGAGTAAGAAAAAGGTTGATAAACGCTGTGAGAATGGGTCTGCAGAGAGAATGGGTCTGCAGAGAGAATTTGGCCGCGATTCCAACTGTCTGTTATCAGCCTGCAGCCAGGGAGGAGAAATCAGCTGAGCTGCCTGCTCCCTGCACACAGATGTGTGTGTGAGGAAGTCCGTGGATTGGTCAATTTGGACCAATCAGCTGGGGCTTAACGTAACGGCTCCGCGGACGTAACGTAACGGCTCCACGGATTGGTCCATTTCGTTCCGGGTACGGGGTTACGTCACCCCGTACCCGGAAGAATCAAATGGACAATGACGTATCTCCAACGAGGCGTTTTGGGGAGGTATTTTCTGTGTTAGAGTTTTACTCGCTACAGGGTGTACTTTGAGGGTTTTGACTCTGCACACCGTTTGCATAAAAACCTTCATAACACACAAGGGGACGGGTAATAACCGGAAAAGCATGACATGGGAGCTTTAAACCCCAGGACAGGAAGTGGTCTCCTCCTACAGAGGACACAGAGACACTGAGGAGTTTAATGACCAGAGCCCAAACCCAGCATAGAGAGGATCAGTGAATGTGGTTCTGATGGTGTGGAGGTGGGTCAGTGTGTCAGAGGAGACTCTGTAGAAGGAGAGAGAGCCAGCAGGATGATCCAGATACACTGCTACTCTACCAGAGGAGGAGGAGGAGGAAGAGGATGAGGAGGAAATGCGTGTTTCTCTCTTATTGTGCCGGACAGAGTAACCTCCATGAGAGTCCAGACTCCAGGACTGATCATTCCATCCAAACAAACTGTCCTGACTGTCTCCTCTCCTGCTGATTCCTCTGTAAGTCACTGCTATACGAACCCCTCTTCTCACCTCAACCTCCCAGTAACAGCGACCAGTCAGAGCTTCTCTGCACATCAGCTGAGGATAGTAGTAGTGAAACCTCTCTGGATGATCAGGGTATTTCTGATCCTCTCCCACACGTGTCACCGTCCTGTTCTTGTCAGAGAGTTTGAGGAGTCTGTCTGCTGTGTTTGAGTCCAGGGTGAGTTCACAGGAATCTGATGAGAGACACAGACAGCAGTTTATCATCAGACTCACAAGATGTCATGTTTTAATGAATAAATAGCACCTCCATCATCTTTGTCTTTAGAGAGAAGCTGACTGATCCACACTTACACTTCCTCAGACCTGGTTGTAACCTCTGCTCTCCACCATGGTCCAGCCTGGAGGAAGAAACACAGTCAGGATGATGTTCTATCCAACATGAGTCCTAGCTGCTGGTACCTACTACAGCTACCTGCTTACAGTCAACAGCTAAAAGCTAACATTCCCATGCTACTTCCCATAAGCTATGCTTCAGCCTACTAATTTTGTTCATCTTTGTGTGTATGAATTATACTACTTTTTTTTTTATTAATTTAGTAGAATAAATTAATAAAAAAGAAAAAAAAGTGTTTGATGGCGAGTGTTCTGTCGCCATGGCAACGGCATATGATGATACCCCATAATAAGCTTAGATGTCTTGAGGGCTGCATCATTATATAACATGTGAAGTTTGGGGCCGTTTGGAGCATGTTCACTGGAGTTATGAGAAAACCGTGTTTCATGGCGAGCGTTGTGTTTCCATGCTAACGACATTTTAAGTAATCTCAAAACGGACATGTAGTTGTCTTCACGGCTGGACTGTTAGCACACAGGTGAAGTTTGACCACTTTTTTGACAATTTTCATAGGAGATAAAGAAATATTGTGTTTTACGTCGAGGGATTCGTTGCCATGGCACCGGCTTTTGAGGAAAATTGGCACATAGACCTGTTGAGGGCCGGACCATTAACCATCCTCTGAAGTCTGGTGGCATTTGGACAATTTTTCGTGGAGTTATAACACCGTGTTATGTGGCGAGGAATGGTTCTCCATGGAAACGGCAGATTGTAAAACATCTGATTTGACGTAGAGCTGTTCAGGGCCGCAGTGTTAACCATCAAGTGACGTTTGGTGGCGTTCGGAGCATATCAGTTGGTGTTCTGTCATTCTAATGACTGACATCTATCTCCGTGACTGCTATATCCTTAGTGGCCTCTAGGGACAGGCAAGTACGTTCCTAGTAAAACGTCTGTGTTAGGTTTCCGTTCTGCCATTTTGTTTGAGAGCCGCATGGGGAGCAGGTTCCTGACTCTATCTGTCTCCATCCGGTTATTTTCACCCTTGAGAAGGCATAATCTGTGAGTACATTTGTTTAGGGAAACATTTTGTATAATGTGCTACTTTATTTTTGCATTTCATGTAACATTTATCTAAATTCAGCATATGTAGTTAAGCCATGTATGTAATTGCTGCATGAGTAGTAATTGTCCCTTATTGGATGTTGGAGCGCATTTGGTTTATTTTTGGGGAAAAGTACATCTTATTTTGTTGTTGTTAGATATTTATACATGTCTTTGTTTGTATCTTTCAGTTTCACACCGCTCCTATTAAAATACCAAACGTCAGCTCCTGTCTCGGTCATTTTTGGGAGAGTGTTTAGCTCGCTGCATAGCCATGCATCTACACACGTGGTGAGGGCAGAAGAGTTGGAGTTATGATAAAAATCATAATAATAATAATCCTATCGTTATCAATTATGTAGCGACTACAGTGACGTGGGCCAAGTGATAAATCACAGTTTTCCAACGCCAAATTCAAAATAGCCGACTTCCTGTACCTTTTTTTACACACCTCCAAGAGGCTTTTTGGTTAGTCTCCGCACTTTATATGTACCTGCCAAGTTTTGTTTGTTTACGTGAAAGTGAAAGCGGAACTGGGCGTTGCATTTATTTAGGTAAAGTTCCGGAACCATATATACATCGCAAGTTTCACCAGTGCTGACGCGCGTGCAACATTTGTTGAGTTTTCGTATAGAATCTTCGCCGCCCTCTGGTCTCAGACCCAATAACTTTGTCATAAATTAAAGGAAGAACATTATATTTGAGATATTAGAGACACATTCAGTCTGTCTGTCCATACCTGAGTGTCTCCAGTCTCCAGAGTGGATCCTCCAGTCCAGCAGACAGCAGCTTCTCTCCTGAGTCTCCTGGATGATTGTAGCTCAGGTCCAGCTCTCTCAGATGGGAGTGGTTGGAGCTCAGAGCTGAAGCCAGAGAAACACAGCCTTTCTCTGTGACCATACAGCCTGAGAGACTGGAACCGGGGAATACAGTAAACTCAGTGTTTTAATAGTGTCAGCATGAAGATACAGATGTTGACCAACTTTATTAACATGAACCGGAAGCTGGATGAGCAGGTTCTAAAGTAAAACTATTTAATAAATCCTGACCTGAGAGTCTCCAGTTCACAGTGTGGACTCTTCAGTCCAGCAGACAGCCGCTTCACTCCTGAATCCTGCAGGTCGTTGTTACTCAGGTCCAGTTCTCTCAGACTAGAGGACTGGGAGCTGAGGACTGAGGACAGAGCTTCACAGCTTCTCTCTGACAGCTTACAGCCACTCAGCCTGGGGAAGGATTAGCAATGAACACAATTTATTTTATTTATCATTTTTAAAACTGATCAATGTTGTTTGTATCTCCACTTACAGAGCTTTCCTGGAGGCTTTGACCACTGGCAGCAGCCTCTGAAGAGCCTTCTCTGAAGCAGAGTATTTCTTCAGGTCAAAGACGTCCAGATCTTTTCCTGATGACAGTAAGATGAAGACCAGAGCTGACCACTGAGCAGGAGACAGTTTATCTGTGGAGAGACTTCCTGAACTCAGGGACTGTTGGATCTGCTCCTCTAGAGAACTATCATTCAGTTCATTCAGACAGTGGAACAGGTTGATGCTTCTCTCCGGAGACGGGTTCTCATTTATCTTCTTCTTGATGTACTCAATTGTTTTCTGGTTGATCTCTGAGCTACTTCCTGTTTCTTTCAGCAGGCCATATAGGAGTTTCTGATTGGTCTGCAGTGAAAGACCCAGGAGGAAGCGAAGGAACAAGTCCAGGTGTCCGTTTGGACTCTGTAAGGCCTGGTCCACAGCCCTCCGGTAGAGATGTTTAAGTTGAGGTTTGTCTCTGAAGACTTTAGGCAGCCAGGAGGTTGTTGGTTCTTCTGCCAGCAGGTTGACTCCAGAGTTGATGAAGGTCAGATGGACATGAAGAGCAGCCAGAAACTCCTGAATGCTCAGATGGACGAAGCAGAACACTGTGTCCTCGTACAGTCCACTCTCCTCTCTAAAGACCTCTGTGAACACTCCTGAGTACACTGAGGCTTCTCTGATATCGATGTCACACTCTGCCAGGTCGTGATCATAGAAGATCAGGTTGCCTTTCTGCAGCTGCTCAAAGGCCAGTTTTCCCAGAGCCTCCATCATCTTCCTGCTCTCTGGACTCCAGTGTGGATCTGTCTCAGCTCCTCCATGATACTTGACGTTCTTCACTTTGGACTGAACCACCAGGAAGTGGATGTACATCTCAGTCAGGGTCTTGGGCAGCTCTCCTCTCTCAGTTTTCAACATGTCCTCCAGAACTGAAGCAGAGATCCAGCAGAAGACTGGGATGTGGCACATGATGTGGAGGCTTCGTGAGGTCTTGATGTGGGAGATGATGGTGCCGGCCTGCTCCTGATCTCTGAATCTCTTCCTGAAGTACTCCTCCTTCTGTGGGTCAGTGAACCCTCTGACCTCTGTCACCATGTCCACACACTCAGGAGGGATCTGATTGGCTGCTGCAGGTCGTGTGGTTATCCAGAGGCGAGCAGAGGGAAGCAGCTTCCCCCTGATGAGGTTTGTCAGCAGCACATCCACTGAGGTGGACTCTGTGACATCAGTCAGGATCTCAGTGTTGTGGAAGTCCAGAGGAAGTCGACACTCATCCAGACCGTTGAAGATGAACACAACCGGGAACTGATCAAACCTGCAGATTCCTGCGTCTCTGGTTTCAGCGAAGAAGTGATGAACAAGTTCCACCAAGTTGTACTTTTTCTTCAGCCTATTCAGCTCTCTGAAAGGTAATGGAAATATGAACTGGATGTCCAGGTTGGCTTTGCCTTCAGCCCAGTCCAGAGTGAACTTCTGTGTTAAGACTGTTTTCGCAATGCCAGCCACGCCCTTTGTCAACACTCTGATTGGTGCATCTCTTCCAGGTGAGGCTTTAAAGAGGTCTTCTTGTCTGATGGTTGTTTCTGGTCTGTCTGGTTTCCTGGATGCTGTTTCAATCTGTCTGACCTCATGCTCTTCAGCTGCAGTTTCCCCCATGGTGATGTAGATCTCCGTGTAGATTTCATTTAGAGGTCTTGAATTACCCGTTTCTAGGATCTTCGCAATTTTTTTCTTCAGGTTGAATTTGAGCGTCCTTTGGCACTCAGTAAGAATCTCTGAATGAAGAAAACATTAAATCACAATTGAGACAATTCTACAATTAACATAAAAGATCCACCCCAATATTTGTTCCTAACTTTACACATTTCTGAAAGGATAGTAGGATATTTTGGTTTGATCGTTGCTGTATCTCAATCATCTGTGGCTATCCAAAAATAGTGTTCCTTCTTTCTATTATTTCCCACTCTGGTGAACAATCTGTTCACCAGAGAACCATGGCCCTAAACCTGACCGACTCTTATTCCTGCTGCTGGAAGACGAGGCACGACCCTGGCAGATCGACCTCTGAGGATGTGGACTCAGCTCTCACTCACTTTATACAGGAAGTGGATTGCTCTTAGTAATTGTCCCAATACTGCGTAATCCTGCAATAGCCTACTATCAACAAGACGCCCTGGGGGTCACAGTGATAATCTTTCCCTTCGTCCATAAGACAGGGTGGATGGAAAACTCTATTGACCCCTCCTAGCACATGTGGAGCCCCAGCCTAACTACTGAACGTATCCCCAGCTGGTGCCCTGACCCAGAGACTGCAAGAGAGCAAGTTACTCTGAACTGTTGGTCGACGCGTCGGCAGAGAGAACAGGGACAGCTTTCATCTCAATGAACCTCAAAGGTGACCTGAGTAACTCTGGAAAAGCAGAGAGTCTAATCCCTATCCAGGAGTTTCTTTCCAGAGCCGGTTCAATGTGTAGAGGTGAGCCCAACTTTGTCTAGTTGGTCCCGCTCCACCTCCCACACCAACACCGGATCCGTCCCCAGCAGAGAGGTGACGGCTGTTTGAAGTTTGTATACCATGTTCCTCTCCTTCACCTACAACCCAACTGGCATTGATTGGACCCTTAGACCCAGTGGTGTGTAGACCCCGGTGCCTGGCTGCAGGATGAGGACCTGGTCTGCCTAATAAGGTTGCTCTTTTTCTAAGCCCTAAAAGAAAATAATGTTTGTTTCCGGTTTCTGACCGACCCTGCCAATTTATGTGCGACTCAGATTTATTTTATCAGCTTTGGGAAAAAAAGTCCGGAAAATACGGTATGTTTTGGTGCGAATGATGTTGAATGGGCCAAGGACAGTGTTCAAAAATCCAGAATATGAATTTTATTTTAGAATCTTCAAATTAGCCCCTGTTGCCTTGAGGACAGCTTTGCACACTCTTGGCTTCTCTCAGTCAGCTTCATAAGGTCGTCACCTGGAATGGTTTTCAATTAACACGTGTGCCTTGTCAAGAGTCAATTTGTGGAATGACTTGCCTTCTTAATGTGTTTGAGACCACCAGTTGTGTTGTGCAGAGGTAGGGTTAGTGCACAGTGGAAAGCTGACTGAGAGAAGCCAAGAATGTGCAAAGCTGTCATCAAGGGTTTCAGTTGTATAGTTCAGTGTACTTTTTAAGCTGAAAGCTTTTGTTTGTTTTGTAAACGATTTGAAAAAAAATGTTTTCCCTACCTACCCTAACTGACAACCAACCAGAAACAAACAATTATTTATTTTAGGCCTAAGTAGTAGATTTTAATCATCGTCGCGTCGAAAATAGACTTGCATTCTATTTTGAGCGCAGCCCAGCGCCGAGACGCTTCTGGGACGCTTTTGAGCCATAATGCTGCGCGTCTGGTGGAATAGCACCCATTGACTAGAGTGGCCGCGATCTTTGCGAACGCCGCGGCGCAGCCATAACGCAGCCGTAACGCAGCCGTAACGCGGCCCTAATGCGGCCGTAACACGACGCAGACGGACCCGGTGGAATCTAGGGGTAAGACCCAGTGGTGTGTAGACCCCGGTGCCTGGCTGCAGGATGAGGACCTGGTCTGCCTAATAGGGTTGCTTTTTTTCTAAGTAGCTGATCTAAAAAGTGACCCTGCCAGAAACTATTGACCCTGACCACTGAGCTTTCAGGGTCATGGGGGTACCTAAACCCTGACACCATGTACAGGTGGTGTTTCTCTGTGTGGTATATCAGGAGGACACATCCAATCCATGTTTTCATTGTGATTTACCTGACCTCAGGTTCCCTGTTTGTAACACTATTTTTTAACTAATGACCTACCTGTCGGTTCTGATGACATTTTTGATAATTCCTCCTCCAGAAGATTCTGATTCATCTCCTTCAAAACGTTTCTGGTCACTTCAATAGTGTTAATGCAGTAGTTCAGAAACATATGGTCCACAGTTTGTGTCCGAGATGCACCCTCTAGTCGACTCTTTGGGATTCCTTCAAATCCTAGGACCTTCTGCTGCAGGTGCCACTTGAATTCTTCAAAGTCCTCTTTCCCCAAATGTTCTAAAGCTGTGAGGAGCTTCTTTTTCAGTGTCGCCATATTTTCTCTCTGCAGAGATCCAAACAAAAAAAAAACAGAAAATATGATATAATCTTACATAAAATGAAATAACATGGGTTCATGCAAAAAAATACAGAGAGCATTCAGTGTCAGACCCCAGAGAGCATTCAGTGTCAGACCCCAGAGAGCATTCAGTGTCAGACCCCAGAGAGCATTCAGTGTCAGACCCCCCCTCGAACCTTGTGTCTTCTTCAGATGAGTCCTGCAGCTCACTGGCAGAAGAAGGCTGCAAGATTATTTCTGAAGTCTCCTCTGCACTGAAAAGCTTCTTCATTTGAGTTCCTTCTCTTTGCTCCAGGTCTTTCTCCTTCTCTGCTCACTAATGAAATAAGCCCTTGGTCAAACTGCATGTTTATCTTTGGCAGCCAGGTGCATAAACACACTAACAGTTGCTTTTTGTTTTTGAGTAATCAAGCAGCTCTTCAAAGACACATCAAACACATCCCTCAAAAGATGGCCTTTTGTTCCCATGAAATGATCCGTGCATGCTTACAGATTCTCACACACACACACACACACACACACACACACACACACACACACACACACGCACACACACACACACACACACACACACACACACACACACACACACACGGAGAGGGAGGAGAGGTGTGTGCTGGTTGTGCACAGGCCTAAAAAATGATTGTTCTATCACCTGAGAGCACCAGGTCACATGCTGCAGGTCTGCTGCTGGAAATGACACACATACACACACACACACACACACACACACACACACACACACACACACACACACACACACCACTCTCGGGCCCCCCTGGTAGTCACACGGCTCCATAACATAACTGTCAAAAATGTAAGAATGTGATGCATCGGCCTACAGTGGGAAAATGGTGTAATCTGTTGGAATAGAGTAGAAATATCAAATATCACTTTTCTTCTAAATGAAATGCTGACATTACAAAATGCATGGTTTTATACTGCAATGGCAGTGAGATCAACAAATGTGGTCTGAATGGAAGTCAATGAGGCATTTTTGAGAGAAATTAAATAATTAAAATAATTAAACAGGCATTTAATGGGTTAAAATCCTGCCAATGATTGAATGTTTGGTAGTTTTGAATACGTTAAAAGTTGTATATGTGATTCATGGAACAAAAAGTTGAAAGAAATATTGATATATGATGATTTAATAGAAGTTATTATGGGCGTGTACATTTTTGCCACAAAGGTGTCCAGAGGTAGTATCTGACACTACGTAAAAAATAATAATGCAGTCAAATCAATTTTATTGCTAATCTTTGACACATCCCAGACTCTAATAACCACCAAAGTTCCATCCCTCTACTAATTATTATATTGAAAAAAATTAATTTTTTGTGTTTTTTGTCATAAATAATGAAATAATTCAAATAATTAAAAAGGCATTTAAAGGGTTAAAATCCTGAAACTTATTGAATGTTTGGTAGTTTTGAGTACGTTATAAGTTGTTTAAGTGATTCATGAAAAAAAAAGTAGAAAGAAATGTTGATGTATGATGATTTAATAGCAGTTATTATGGGCGTGTACATTTTTGCCACGAAGGGGTCGAAAGGTTGAAAATTCTAGGAGGGCACAAGGCTTAACAAGTTAAACATAAAAACCGCTCAGTCACGAGATGTAGACCTGTTCTGACACGCCCTGCATTTTCTCTGAGGACATGAACTCAGATAACAATCAGACTGCAGCTCCTTCTACCAGAAGCACTGACAACAGTACATGGACATCTTTCCAAAACCATTCTGCTTTCACTCAGAGAGAAACCCTACACAATACTTTATCATATATATATATATATATATATATATATATATATATATATATATATATATATATATATATACATACATATCATATATCAATGTGATCACAGTGATCCTGATGAAGGAACAGACTCCTGTGGGAGGGTCCTCACCTGCTGAACTCTCTTCAGGTCCACAGAAACCCTGCTGATCTCGTCCTCCTCAGTCCTGGTTCTGCCTGCTATTCCCTTATATCTCCTTTTATTCAACAGTTTGAACACCAACTGTTTCAGATGTGACTCACGTGAAAGAGGAACTCGGTACTTCTGCTCTGAGTTGCAGAGGAGGAGGGGGCGGGGTTTGACGTGTTGCAGTAGTTTTCCACTCAGGAGGAACTTCTAGAAGGAGAGAAACTTATATTATGAGAGAGAGGTCTGTCTTTGTCTTTAACCTGTTAACCCCTGAGCCTGTTTTTCAGGTCTCAGGCTCAAAAATGACATTCCCAGAACAAATGACTATATCTTCCCTTTTAAAAGGGGTAAATGCATAGTCTTTTTTCTCAAAGCAACGATAAACCTGTGAGTTGGATGTAAAAAAGTCAGAATCAATATAGATTTTTTAAATTTTAATGTAAATTCAGATTGAACATAGTAAAAAAATGTAAATTATAGTGTTCGTCCAAATGTTTTTGTGTACTTATAGTGAAAACCACCCTTGAAGGATGGGATAGTAGACTAAAAGCTTAAGGAATCCAAACTATAACATATAATAAGTACCCTGTATCAAGATTGAGGCAAAACAAGTGACATTTTACCTTTTTAGAGAGGTTTAGAAAAAAACAACAACTTCTGTGGTCATTTGGGTGGATTTTCCATATCTCTGGCCCCCCTCGGTCGATTTTGATGATTGACATCTCTTTTGAACCGTTAGAGCCAATAGAATCGAGGGGAAGTTCCTAAAATCCATCTAAACATTACCCATTGGTGAATGAGTGCTGCGCAGCCAGAATGCCCCGGAACCGGAAGCTGCGATACACTATGGTGGCTACCATTAGCAACTAATTTAAAATCTCAGATTTTTACATAAAATTGAATTATGGATTATCAATAATCGTTTCAAAGCAACAGACACATTGGATTAACCTATGGATTAACCTTCAGCCGCGTTCTTATCGTTTTAATGGCATTGAACACGACTTTTGATCAGAAACCAACAGCTAAGGTGAGAATATCTCCATGAATGCTCCGTGATGCTACGTGTTGTGATGTCTGTGTTTGCTTCCCCTGTCGCGAGTTCTGATCGCTCAGTGTTGATACCAATACCTATAGAATCTGTGGAATATCAGCTTTAGTCAGATATCTTGTATGTGCAGCTACGATAAGTAATAGGGTATTTTTACCTTGAGTTCTGTGCTAAGTGCGTTAGCATTTTTTTGCTCAGGGCTAATTTAGACGCTTCTTGTGAGACTTGTGCTTTGTTTCGGTAAAAATTGTTAATATCTTCAGTTAGCTGAGTTTCTAACCGTTAAGTGAGTATGACACATTAATAGGTTTTTAAATATTAAGAAGCCCTGAGACAGTTTCGTGAAAAAACTACCCGTCCACTAGAGGCTGCTAACTGACCCTCTGATGAAACACAGGTCAGGGTGAATGGTCAGTGTGAGAGGGGGTGTAGTTCTGCTAGCTGTCCACTAGATGCTGCTAACTGACCCTCTGATGAAACACAGGTCAGGGTGAATGGTCAGTGTGAGAGGGGGTGTAGTTCTGCTAGCTGTCCACTAGATGCTGCTAACTGACCCTCCGATGAAACACTGATCAGGGTGAATGGTCAGTGTGAGAGGGGGTGTAGTTCTGCTAGCTGTCCACTAGGTGCTGCTAACTGACCCTCTGATGAAACACAGGTCAGGGTGAATGGTCAGTGTGAGAGGGGGTGTAGTTCTGCTAGCTGTCCACTAGGTGCTGCTAACTGACCCTCTAATGAAACACAGGTCAGGGTGAATGGTCAGTGTGAGAGGGGGTGTAGTTCTGCTAGCTGTCCACTAGGTGCTGCTAACTGACCCTCTGATGAAACACAGATCAGGGTGAATGGTCAGTGTGAGAGGGGGTGTAGTTCTGCTAGCTGTCCACTAGATGCTGCTAACTAGATGAAGGTTCCTCACAGAGTGACCTGAAGTCTCTGAGCTGCAACCATGATCAGAGCTGCTTTTCTAGATCAGGGATGGGCAACTTTGAGGATAGGGACGGCCACAAAAAAATGGGCTCTGATTGGTTTAAAACCTCCCTTCCTGTTTCATAAATGTAAGTAAGATTTGCTGTCTAAAGGCCCAGACACACCAGGCAGTCACCAGAGAACTCGCCGACACCGACTGTTGCGTCGCCGTGTTCTCCTGCGTCTTGGCCATGTGTCGCACTGGAACACACCGCAAAGACTTCAGCCGAGCACGTACGAACTGCGCATGCGTGAGTGGCAATAACTCTCCTTACCAGCAGGCGGCGGTAGTGTGTATTCGTCATTCAAAATAGGCAACAACCGGAAGACAGAGAAGAAGAACAGACTGTGATATAAACAAACAAACAAATAGCGTGTGCGTTCCATTTTCACTCTCGTCCATCGAAAACATGTTTTAGAATATAAAAATACATGAATGATGAAATGAGCACATAAAGTGCAGACATACTATCACATCACAGTTAATAGACCTGCATCTGATGATCGCAGTGTTCTGGAGGGTGTGTCGTTTATTGAGTCAGCAATGTAGTAATGTATGTAATGTCATAATGGCCACTTCTTGCTAAATGTACATTTCCATGTGATGCTTTTATCCGAGGCGACTCACAATAGGTAAATGAACAGCAGTAGACAGTATCTCATTTACTTAGACACTGGACTTAAGGACAATGTTGAGGTACTTGAGACTAATCCTGCAACTTTATACTGACAAATAAACCCATGAGATGAAAAACCGGACTTGACCAAACAAATCACGGAGCTCTCAGCAGAGGACAGCCGGGGACGCTCCCGCCGATATCAGAGATGTCCCTGCTATGTGTGGGAGGTAAGAGAGGACATTTAAGGGCTATGTTTGATGTCTTTAAGTATCACCTGCTGGGGTTTAGCTGCTGTCCTGTGCCTTCTTAAATCCTTTGTTTACGTCCCTCACTTCCGTTTCGCTTCTCATTTGCTAGCTGAACAGCTGATCAGAGTGCTTTCTTGGTCCGATAGCTTGTGTCGACCGTGAAAGGCCAAATAAGGCGTGTCACGGCAGAGGGTTCGGGACACACCAAATTGACTTTGGGCGACAGAGCACGCTTCGTCGTCAGACAACCGAAGACGGCCGATTTCGGCCTGGTGTGTCTGGGCCTTAATGGGTCCGATGCTGTAAAGAGTAATACACTTTATCGATGCGTAACCACATCATCTCAAGCTTTATACGTCAGGTGAAGCAGAGTCTGGGCTGCCAGGTTGTGAAGCGCTGGTTAAAAAATAAAAAGCTGTTTCTGATCCATGATAAATGTTTACCGTGTTAAAGTCAGCAGATGTTCCTCATTTGTTTCTGTCTCTCTTTTGACAGATGCTTTAAGAAGTCAGATTCTCTGTAACTATAATAAATACATGTGGATTTAACCCTGAAACTGTGGGATTGATGATTTATAGTTCCCGTTGTTTCGGCAACACGCCGACCAACCAGAGCCCCAGATCACCTCAGTGTGTTTCCTGGTTTTTATTATCATTATATGTTCATGTCTCTAACGTAATTATCCCCATGGGAGGTTCAAATAGATAGATGACTACTTTATTGATCCCAAATTGGGAAGTTATTTTGTTGCAGCAGCAAAGTGTACAAGCATTAAAATCCTAAAGATGAGTTTCCTCCACAAAGCCACAGGCCAATAACAACGCTGAAGCTGAGCGTCAGGTATTCCATTATTTTATTAGAACACAAAGAAGAACGGCTCAACACGTTTATCTGTACGTTCAAACATCAACACATTGCGGGAATAAACAGAATATCGCTCATCACACACATCTCATTGTTGTTAAAGGGCAACATTTAAACCCCAGGACAGGAAGTGGTCTCCTCCTACAGAGGACACAGAGACGCTGAGGAGTTTAATGACCAGAGCCCAAACCCAAACCCAGCGTAGAGAGGATCAGTGGATGTGGTTCTGAAGGTGTGAAGGTGGGTCAGTGTGTCAGAGGAGACTCTGTAGAAGGAGAGAGAGCCAGCAGGATGATCCAGATACACTGCTACTCTACCAGAGGGGGAGAAGGAGGAGGACGAGGAGGAGGACGAGGAGGAGGAGGAGGAGAGGAATGTTCCTCTCTTATTGTGCCAGACAGAGTAACCTCTATCAGAGCAGCCCAGACTCCAGGACTGATCATTCTCTCCAAACAAACAGTCCTTTCTGTCTCCTCTCCTCCTGATTCCTCTGCTAGTCACTGATATACGAACCCCTCCGCTCCACTCGACCTCCCAGTAACAGCAACCAGTCAGAGCTTCTCTGCTCATCAGCTGAGGCCAGTAGTCAAACCTCTCTGGATGATCAGGGTATTTCTGATTCTCTCCCACAGGTGTCACCGTCCTGTTGTTGTCAGACAGTTTGAGGTCTCTGTGTGCTGTGTTTGAGTCCAGGGTGAGTTCACAGGAATCTGATGAGAGACACAGACAGCAGTTTATCATCAGACTCACCTGAAGGCTTTACTCTCTGTTATGCCCCTTTCACACCGGCGCTTTTTCAGCTCCGGCTCGGAGGCGTGCAGGAAACTAAACCCACCTCCCCTGAACATGGGTCGACTGAAGAGTCTCGTCATGCCTGCCTACAAGCAGTAGCGCTGAGCAAAGTGACTAGAAGGCAACCACACACTTATAAAAAAACACACTTTATAAAGTCAGGCAACACTAACCAGGCTTCGTGTGATTCTGTTTATTTGTACCTTACTTTGACCATCCGTTCACTGTTATTGATCATTGTGGAGAGCAGGCAAACGTTTCGTTTGTTATTATAGCAGCTATCGGATGGAATCAATACATGGGCTGCACAGGTTGTCATGTCCGACTATCACAAGTAGAATCATAATGAAAAATACGCCGGTAAAAAGTGCCTGTAGAAAACGGCTTAGCAAGTAGTCAGTTTAGCTTCGGTTGCTATGCTAACATCACCCATGTTATACCAGAGAAACTTTCATAACAGCGTTGTGATGCCAAACAGCGTCAATTCAGACTGACACACATTCACTTAAGGGGAACTGGGGATATGTATCAGCTGCTTGTGTGACAGTCAGACAGTGAATACTTTAGAGCCGTGTGAGCTAACCCGGAGCTAACGGGAGAATACACTCCCGTGGAAGAGCAGCCAGCACTGCAGCGGTCGCTAAATGAAACACATTAATAAACAATGAACCACGGCACTCTGGAGAAAAGTATAAGGTTGGAGAAGTCGTTATTTAATTTAATCTGGCTTCGTATGATTAAAAGCAACACGATCATCGACCCGATGCAGTCCCCAGCCCGTTGTTGTTGTGGGAGAAAATCAGCGATGTAAACGGTGACGTCATGACGCAGCAGCGGCAGCTCTGGGCGGTGTGAACAGAGCGGGAGCTGAAAAGGGAAACCGGAGCTGAACCAGAAAAGCTCTAGCTAGGAGCTAGAAAGGGAAAAGCGCTGGTGTGAAAGCCCAACCCAGTCTCACGGCATTTCGTGTTATTAGTCACGAAATTAATTTAATCTATTGATTCGTGTTGACCAACACGATTTTCACCTTTTTTTCGTGTCACACAGAACGATTTTAAATGCAATGTATTTCTATTGGTAGTATGTTTCGTGCCTGCAACACGTCTTTTTGAGCTGTGTGGTTCATAAAAACATGTTCTTACTCAATATCTTACCCTAAGCCTAACCCTATCCCTTTTATTTTAAATTGTATAATGTCTGAGTTTTTTTGCCGTCAGTGAGGAAAAGAAATGTCTCAGAGCCTCAAAATACTGACATCTGTATTTTATGTCATCTTTTTTTCCTTCTAATTTGTTATTATTTGGTGCAGGCACGAAACATACTACCAATAGAAATGCATTGCTTCTAAAATCGTTCTGTGTCAGAATACTGAAATCTGTATTTTTTTAAATGTCTTTTTCCTTCGAATTTGTTATTATTTACATTGCTTTTAAAACGAAAAAACTATAACACGAAATGCCGTGAGACTGTGTTGGAAAGCCGCATTAGTGATCTTTCTATAAAGCTTCAAGATGTCATGTTCTAATGAATAAATAGCACCTCCATCATCTGTGTCTTTAGAGAGAAGCTGACTGATCCACACTTACACTTCCTCACACCTGGTTGTAACCTCTGCTCTCCACCATGGTCCAGCCTGGAGGAAGAAACACAGTCAGGATGATGTTCTATCCAACATGAGTCCTAGCTGCTGGTACCTCGTGGAACAGAGGTTACTTTCTTAGAGCAAGCTTTTTTATTCTTATTTACTTTTTGTTGGCGTTTAGTGTCAAACATTGTCTCAGCATATTGTACATCTTTACATGAAGGACATACATCTGTTCATAGCTCTTCTCAGCAATATACACATGATGACACAAAAAGCACAGAGGAGAAAGACATAAAGAAAGAAATGAAAATCAAACAGAACAACAGTGATCAATTAGGGAGTAGACATTTCTTTCCAGCAGAGTTCTGGATCTGTGGAAACTAAGTCAGATCAGATCAGATTCCTTTATTGTCTCTACAGAGACATTCAAAGCATTCCCAATGGTGCACTCACACATAACAGACAGTAGAAGTATCATCTGACAAAACAAGCTCAAACCATTTCATATATAAAGAGACTAAAATGTGACCTATCATACATAGAACAGTACGCTTACAAAACAATATAACATTACCATACAAATACAAGTACACGAACAATACGGTCAATGCAGTACACATCTGTGAAACAAGTCAATACATAAGTTATTCATCATATGTTTATCAGCAGTTGATAATTACAAAACTAGAAATAAACATGTGTTCTATAGAAACGGTATGAGGGAGAATATAAAGTGCAGTTGGATGTGAACATGTACTTGAGCATCAGTTCAGCTCCATTAGTGCTGTGATTGTCTGGCTGTGTTCAGCTCACGTATGGCACTGGGGGAAAAGCTGTTCTTATATCTATTTGTCTGTGATTTCATGGACCTGA